ACAAAAAATTATTGCGCTAGCTCTTTTCCTTCTCGTTATATTAGATTGTAAACAAAAAAAATGTGATTTAGCCCATAGTGCGCCGTCAACCAACATGCCGTTACGTCAGTCGATAGCGCAGCCGTCAATTTATACAATGCAGGGTCAGTCTCTGCAGACGCTATCAACCAACATGCCGCTACGTTAGTCGACAGCGCAGCCGTCAACTTATGCACTGCAGGGTCAGTCGCAGCAGACGCCATCAACCAACATGCCGCTACGTCAGTCGATAGCGCAGCCGTCAACTTTTATACTGCAGCGTAAGTCGCTGCAGGCGTCGTCAACTAACATGCCGCAGAAGATTGGCCGCTATTTCGGACGAGTTATATTGATAGCACAATTGAGTTCATATACAAAAACAGACAGAACCTTATGAGGTTACACACAGCACTGCAAGGCAACGCAAGGCATGTTGTAGCATCGCTGCTTATTTTTCCCGAGAATGTACCGCAGGTTATGGAGGAGCTACAGTTCAACTTCGGTAGACCTGAACTACTTATAAATGTACAGATGCGAAAAGTAAAAGATTTCCCATAACATATGAAGGCCGGTTGGAACAAGTGCTAGAGCTGGCGAACAGGGTTCGCAACATTGTGGCATTTTTTTAAGCAAGCTGCGAGCATCACTTATTGAACCCAACACAGCAACAGCAGTGCCGCGTTTGGAGCTGCAAGCCGCCATATTGGGTAACCTTATTCGACTGTCAGTCGATAAGCGCCTTGACCGAGGCATAGACAGCGTTACATATTGGAGCGAATCGAGAACCGTTTTGTTATGGATCCGCTCAACCATACGAGACGTTAGGCAGTTAGTCTCAACCCGAATATATGAAATACTAGCTACATCCAGTCCGAATCAATGGCGATGGGTACCCTCAGCGCTCAACTTGGCGGACGAAGCCACCAAGGTCAAGTCATCGCCAATCGAACAGATTCTCTCTGGACGACAGGTCCTACATTTTTGCGCTCCAAAGAAGAGAACTGGCCTGAAAAGCCAGAACAACTGCACTCAAACAGCGTTGAAGAAGAATGTATAAAGAGGATATTAGTCGCACATAATCGTCAAAATGCCATCAATATCAACAAGTTCTCATCTCATACATGGCTACTACGAGTGGTAGCATGGATCTTACGTTTTATATGCACACTAAAGACTTAATCACGCCAAGGAGGTGAGATAGTGCCGAGTGAGATGGTAGCCGCTGAAAATTACATTAGTCGCCAAGCACAACTCGAAGTTTATGGCAGAATCGACGCCGCATACTGCCTGAGTCTACATGCCTTCCAATTATTACACCACAGAGATATCGCCTTGCGTTTCGTGTCTTGGATCACTTTCATCAGAAGAATCATCTCCAAAACAACAGGTTAACGATCAATGAAATGCGTCATGGATTTTGGGTGCCACATGCACATGCCGTACTGAAAGCTGTAAGAAAAGGATGTCCAGTGTGTGTACGTCAGTCTGCCTAGCCGATCACGTCTTTAATGGGTCAATTACCACCCGATCGTCTAACGCCATACGTCTCCCGTTTTCCTATACCGGAATTGCTTATTGCGGCCTTCACCTGCCTAACCACAAGAGCGATTCATCTCGAAGTGTCAGTCGATCTTTAACCCGACGCATTCTTGCTTTGCACTTGGCAAAAGACGAGAAAATTTTCGATTTTAAAGCTATTCAACGTGAGACGTCAAGGGACCGGATCAAATGGAAATTCAGTTGTCCATCCAATCCAGCCGAATGTGGGTGCTGGGAATGCCTGATCCAGTGTGTCAAGCAAATCCTTCATCGTTTATTAAAGGAAGAAGCCCCTCGTCTAGAGACCTTTTGTAGCGTGATCATTGAAGCCGAAAACATTGTCAACAGTCGCCCGTTGAGAGACATTCCGTTGGCGGCACAGATCCCGGAACCATTGACTCCAAACCACTTTCTTCTTGGAGAACTTAATTCTACGCAGACTCCTGGTGATGCCGATGAGCAGATGTGCCCCCGATATCAGTGGAGGATCGCGCAAAACTTAAAAGATCTCTTATGAAAGCGATGGATCAACGAATACCTACCACAACTTCTGACGATGACATGAAGGAGCTACTCCTCTTCAACCAGGACAGCTAGTGCTGGTTTGCGACCCGCACATACCACGAGGCCAATGGCAGACCGGCCAAATCACTGAAGTCATTAAAGCGAAAGACAGTTAAGTGAGAACCGTCACGGTACAAACCAGTGTTGCAACTATTCGTCGTCCAGTCTCGAAGCTAGCCGCTTTGGAGTTTGCGAATCCCCACCAGGATTCTCCGGGGGGTGGGATGTTAACGCCACCTACGTGTCAACTACAACATCCATCCGGCAGCACCAGATAATTTTATGACCGCTATGTCATTTCCGAACATTTATGTATTTACTTATGTACTCATATATTTACTTGTCCTTTAAGTGTTCAAAATCATTCACAGCGCAAAATCCGACGAAAACATACCACAGAAAACCCCCGCCTAACGCGT